TTGTAATTTTTCAGAAGATGGAAGCGTGGTCTTCATACTTTAGAAACAATGGCTTAAACGCTAGATTGTGGACAGTGAAAAGGTTACCAGGGAGAGAGAGCGATTATCTTCGTTTTCACATTGCTTACAATTTGCCCCCTTTGCCTGTCACTAAGACAAGCAAACAAAATTAGCTTTAACAAATGCCTTTGAGTCCTTCCATCCAATTTTACAGATAGAAAGCAGATGCTCAGAGGTTACATAATTTAACCATGGCCATCTGCAAGCAGAGCTGATGGTTCAGGTCTCTGGACTCCAGCACCTTTCCCACCATTGCCACACTATTTTCCAAGAAGGAAGTATGCCTGAAATTTTAATACAAGCCAGATAATATGACTCATGAGGTCATTAAGGCTCAGGGGAATGGCAAGTGTAGCTCCTATGGAGTGTGGATGACTTAATGCAGAGAATCACACGGTTGGGGGAGAGCTCTGGCTCTGTATGCCAAGCGCCTACGCAAATGTGTAGAAATTCATGTAACCTAGGGACAAGTGCAGTTGGAAGCATATGATTGATAATGAAAGGAGAAAGAAATATTCATTCAGCCAGTCATTTCTCTGTGTAATCATTCATTCTATTCATTCATTTCACAAGTACTTATTAAGTATCTATGTCATGCCATGAATTATATATTAGGGATGTAATAGTGAATGACACATAATCCTTCTCATCAAGGGTTTTATAACTTGGGAGAGAAGATTGACAGCAAACTGTGATAAGACTACAATGTAGAAAGTGTTAAGTAATAATTACTATTATCCCTATTTTATAGATGAGGTAACTGGGTCTTAGAGTGGATACATAACTTGCCCAAAGTCACAGAGCCAATAAATGGCACAGTCCAGATTCAATTCAGACCTGTGTGACACAAAAATCCTTGCTTTTACTCCCACTCTGGGAGATGCTAATAGGTGTGCTAGAGAAGAAAATTGTTGTTGTTTTAAGTTTTAAAAGTTTGGGAAATCTGTAAACTAAATGTCCTGTTGGGAGAGCCACAGCACATATTAGCATATTCAAGGGTTTGAGCCACTTTGTGGTAAGGAGTACTATTTAGAAAGGCATTTCCCAAACATTCAAATATTTCAGCCAAAGCACACTGCACTGTAGTGACAACGATGAGAAAACATGCAGAGAATGTAGTGTGCAGGGGATGCTCCAGAACTCAACACAATGTCCCTCAACTTTTCAGGAGTATTGGTGAATTGGACAGGACACATTCACAAAGTGGGCCTTCTCAGGTTCTGTGATGTTAAAGAATTGAATTCTGGTACACTCAGAAGTGAAGGAAATAAAGAAAAATCGTATTTTTAGGCATGAGTTTCTACAGGGAATAATTTTTAGTGATGGGACTATCTGCTATCAATTATAGCAGCAGTAGATTTGAAAATTACAGAAAGTGCCTTTTGTTCACATGGTACTTTGACAGCAGTGACAGGCTCCACAAAGGAGAAAGCCCCTGGGACGTGAAATGATTTTAGACGTGAGTTTCTTATTGTCAAAGAGCAGGCATTTATGAGGGGGTTTGAGGGTGTGGAGAAGATCTCTGATCTACTCCAGACCTTTTCTAGAAGTTTATTAGGACAGGCTGTTCCTCACCCTCAGATTTCATGGCGTAAGTTGATTTACAAATGGAGCATGGTTTGAACGAAGCCATCCCCATGGACTTGACTGCCCCCTGAAGGCAGTAAGCACATAAATAACTCCAGCAGAAGGGCAAAGAAGAGAGGACAAAAGCGCTTTGAGGCCATTTCTGTTAGGTACAAAGACAAATGTAGGAAGCTCCGCTGCTTATAATTTTTTATCAGATAGTGGAGTGTCGGGCCTTTGGGTGGAATTTGCTGGTCTATTATTATATCTGCTTTCCACTGTATCCTACAGTGGCTATTTTTCAATACATAGGATTTAGCTTTACCAAAGCATTTTTTCAAAGCACTTACGATTTTTTTTTTTTTTTAATGTTGGTATTAGTGCACTTAAGCTGTGGGAGACAGTGGTGCTCTGGTCAAGCCAAGACCAGATAAATCTGCCCTCAGCATTCCAGGGAGGACCCCAAAAGCAGCAACTGTGCCCAGCACTAAAGGGATCAGAAGGCATTTGGTGAAGCCCTTGTCACTTCTTTCTTTTTTTTTTTTTTTTGGTTGTCTTTATCCCTCACTAAACATTGATCTCCCCTGAGACCTGAGCTGGATTAAAATCAAATCAGTTATCTCGAGGGGATCCAAGTGGCCTCTCCTAAAAAGACATTGCCAATGCCCTCTCTCTGCTTCATCTCACTTCTATTTACTGTATTTACTGTACTAGTTCCTGGTGTCTCCTTGCCAGCCCAGAAACTATGGGAGGGCAGGCGTGTCTGTTCACCCCCAGATCTCCAGGGTCCTCACCACATCCCTGTGCTGGGAACAAATCATTTTCTTCTTCAATAAGAAACAGGGCAACATGTATTGAGTTCTTTTTTTTAAAAAAACATGTATTGCTGAATTTGTGTTCATTATTGAATATTTAGAAAACACAGAAAAGAACCAAAAGGAAAAGTTATCAACAACAGTTATTATGGCATATTTCTTTGCAGAATTTTTTTTTTTGTATGTGTAAAATCTAATAGCCTGTTTTTTTCTTGCTTAGCACAATATCATAAATGTTTTCTTTTACTTTTATTTCTGTATGTATTGAGCACCTACTATGTAGCAGGAACTGTGCTAGGCCCTGTAGATGCTTGAGATGGACCTTAAAATGCAAAGGGGTATTTCCAAAGCAGAGAAGCAGGGGACCCATAATTAAGGTAGAGGGACTCCACCTTCAATATTGTGGACAATGAACTTTAAGCTCACAAGGGCAGCCAAAAAGGACACCATAATAGGAATTTGCAGCTAGATCTAGTGTCTTATAATGACCTACCAGAAATACTTACTTGATACAATAGGAAATTTTCCAGGATTTATCAAAGTCCCAGAAAAGGACAAAATTGCAGTCAGTAAGGTCAGTTTTTGAATGGGGCCATTTCCTAAGCAGTCTTTCTGTTAAAGACATCCATGTCTTAAAAATGAGGATTGTAATGAACTGTCTTGGCCCTGCTGCCAGCCAATCAGAATGGACACTGGGTGCCATGTTGGATCAAGGTCCGAAGATGCCCACCAGACTGTACCGTGACATTGGCCCCTACGTTGACTGATCACAGGGAGCTCTGGGGAGTCCTAAGGAGAGGCTGGATGGCCAAGGCAGTGATGGGGGACACTCAGGGACACAACTGCTCACCAGCTGGAGGCGTAGTGCTTCAATGGTTTAAGAAGCATACACTGTACAAGCACATCCTGGCCACAAGACCTACCTGGAGAGCAACTTCTTTTCTCAAGTTGCTAACATGTGCTCTTAGATGTCAGCGGGCCTGCTGCCTGTGACACAAGAGCCGTGGTTTGCCATCCTTTGAACTTGAGCAGGTGGAATATGATTTGGGGCAGACACTAGGGAGAGGGGTTCAGAGCCAGCCCATGGGGGGCAAGCTGCAGCTGGCTCTGCCCCCCTCCTTCCTAAAGAACCTCCTGGAAAATTCACTCTAACCCAGACTCCCACTGAGCAGTCACACCTCCACTCACGTACACACAACGTGGCTGAGGTCTTCAGAACACACGGGGCTCCATGGTGGAGGAAGGCATCTCTCAGGGTGAAGAACACGCAAAATGGTCATGTAGGGACTCAACTCCTGAACAAAGGCCAGCATCTCCCAAGAGGGCTCTCCTGCTGACCAGCCAGCTCCAAGTCCTATCCCATTACCTGTGTTTTCTGCTTAGGTGAAGGGACAATGCTCCCAGTTACCTGGACTGAGATCTATGGCACTCTCCCTGAACCTCAGCTTCCCTACTGATTTGGGTGAGGGGATAGCTGGGGCTGAAAGACAGTTTTCCAATCAAACTATCAATGACTGAGCAGGGGCTATCACGGTAGGCCCTGGACTAGAGGCCTGACATGATGTCCTGTAATCCTCACAGCACCCTATGAGGTCAGTAGCTATAATTCCCACGTTGCAGATAATGAAAATAGGGCTTTCTTATATGTCAGGGAATTCTGGGGATACTGAGGGGCTCAGAATATAACTTGCTTAAGGATTCACAGCTAGTCAGCAGCAGAGCTGGAGTTTGAACACAGACATGTAAACTATCACCCAAGTTCTATTAGGGCCACACAGGAGACAGCCTGAGGAGGAATATGGCAGGGTCAGGACATTGGAGGCGGGGGGACCAAAGCTCTGGGAAGCAGTGCTGGGAGCGAATACTTCCCCTCCCCCACCCCCTGCCCCAGGTTACTTTTCTCCCAACCCTCCCCAAAATGCACAGATATGGAGCTCCACAACAAACGTTATTGGTAATAATTAGCTAACCCTTTATACTTGCAACATAAACTCAGAAGATGCCTTTGGATGCTCTAGAAACGGGGATGTCAAAGCAGGAGAAGAGGAGGTGAACAAGAGGTGGAGTCAGCTCGAATGGCAGCTGTCATCCGTTCTTCTGTCCTACAGCACAAGGCACTCAGGTTGTCTGTCGACCGCCTCCTGCCCTGAGGCTTTCAGATCCAAAAGCAAGTTACTGAGTTTAGCATAGAGGGCAGGAAGACAGAGGTTCAGATGGCATCTCTGTCGGACACTGGCTCTGAGATCTTCAGACAGTTTCTTAGCTTTTCTGCATCTTAATTTTCTCATCTGTAAAAAGGTCATATATCTCAGAGTTGCTGTGAAGATTAAATAAGATAATATTTGTGAAGTGCTTAGCGTGGCATCTGGCACAGTGCAAATCCCTTAATAAAGAGAGTTATTAACATGAAATTGCTTTCTTGTGAATTATTTTATCAGAAATTTATGGAATAATTCCTTTATTGCTAGGTTACGAACTTAAAAAAACCTAACTTTGGAAAACACGAAGAAAGGAAAGATGAGACACAAGTTGTAATATTGTCTAACTTAATTTTTATAGGAGACGTGGAAATTGACACTAGAGAAGGCAAGACAGATTGTCAAGAAATCCCCAACTCTGGTAAGCAAGCAATGGGGAGAATGCCAGCATTTTCCTTGGCACGTTCACCTCCAAAGGCCAGGGGCTACCCCGGACGCAAACCCACAACACAACACGTCACAGTTGAATTGGGTTGGAATAGGAATATGAGCCCCTACCTCTTTTTTCTCCTCTCTTCTCTCTAGAGCAGCGTTTCTCAACTCTGGTTGTGGGCACTGTCCTGGGCATTGTAGGATGTTAGCAGCATCCCTGTCCTCTACCCACTAGGTGCCAGCACCCACCCCCCCCAATAGTCGTGACAGCCAAAAATGTCTCCTGGCATTGCCAGATATCCTCTGGTACTCACTGTTGAGAACTGCTGCCCTCCAGTAGACCATATTGGAGGAGGCTGTATCCTCCTGCTTCTCCACTTTCTATATATGTGATCTAGGCTGAGCCTCAGTTTCCCTATCAGTGAGGTAGGGACAATAACAGTGTTCCTTTCTCAAAGCATGGGTGTCAGGACTAAGAGAGTTGATGTGTGGGGGGTGTCTGGTATCATGCCTGGGACTTATCAAGCACTCTATATATGCCAGCTAAAATCATCACCATTATTATGCTTTTCCTCTAATTTTTGCTCTTTGCAATCATAGTTTTATTCAACAGAATGCCTAGTTCAAATCAGTTATCATTAAGTCAAGTATTTGACTTGGGCCCTGGTGGCCAATCAGCCCCAGTTGAAGAGGAAGCAGAAAGGTAAACCTTTAAAGAACAGTGTCTCCCTAATGCTAGCAGTCCTGGCAGGAAGGAAGCATTCATCAGAGATGAGAGGGCATGGCCTTCGTCCTTGGCTTCTCCCTGCTGGCCCTGATTCAATACATTCAATGTAGTATTGATTTGGCAACATGGAAATAAAGAGGAGGAAAATTCCTCATGGCTTGGTTTGTCAGACTTAGCAAATAAAAACAGAGGATGCCCAATTAAATTTGAATTTCAAATAAATAATGAATAACTATTTAGTATAAGTATGTCCAGTACAATATTTTATATGGCAACCCTACTTGTGGGGAGCACATGGGTTTTGATGTACAAGGCTGATACATGTTGCATGATAGTATGCAGGCATTTCTGCACAATTAATTAATCAATCACAATGCCTGCATCTCCAATTATTATTTAATTCAGTGAGTAATTAAAGGCCAACCATAGCTGGTTCAGCTAATCTGCTTAAGTTATTGAATAAGAAACTGAAACATCACATGAAACCCTTGACCACCACCTTCGGAACTCTGAACAGACTGGAGCATAATACCGTTTTTCTCTTATTCTTCTCAACATGCATCTAAAAACTTATTCTCAGGACATTGTTTACTTCACTAGTACAAACTGCCTTGGCATTAACTCAAAGACTAATTAGGATTTTACAATTTTTCATTTCTGTCACCAGAATTGCGAGCATAATTCACGGGGCAGGATTCCAATCATGACTTGCAAGAAGCCAAAAAAAAGAAAAAAAGAAAAATCAACTGAACAATTCACCAATTAAAAAAAAAAAAAAACTCCTCAAAAACCTCCTCCAATTTATTTACTCTCTACATTAAAGCTATCAGGGAAAAAATAATCAGGAAATGCAAATAAGCATCTTGAAAAACTGCACAGAAGATATTGGCTGCAATTAACTCCACTGTGATGGTTGATGTAATTGCCGACCTAGCCAGAATGTGGAGAGAAACACAGAGTAGGTTGCATGTCATTTCAGCACAGCCTGTCAGATGGAGAATCCAGACTGGGGAAGAGTTTAGTGTTACTGAAGGGAATGGAATGTTCCAGAGAAGATCTGCCTCTCAAGGAGATCCCGAGAGGCTCCTCGGGGGGTCTTCATGGATTTGGCAGAACACTAAGCATCTGAGGGTTTAGAACACCTGAGTCATGGCATCAATTTATTTAATTATCACAAAAACTCCTACAAGGTAGAGAGCATATTTCTGTTATCAACCCCATTTTACAGATGAGAGGACTAAGGATGAGAGGTTAAGTAATTCCCTCACTCCACATAGCTAATAAGTGAGAAACCCATCATTTACATCCAGATTTACCTTCTTCCAAGTTTCTACCCCTCCCACTATTCCAATAGTTCTCAACCAGACCTCCTCAGTACTGAATTTCAAGAAGCACCATTCACATCACAGGCTATGTGAATATTAGAATCTTGTAGTGCACAACCTGTACTGCTGTACGTGATGGCCCTGATTTCCAACCTACCTACTCAACAGAACCATCTGGAAAGCCTTTAAAAATTGCTGCTGTTCAAACTTGCCCCAAGTAAAATAATCCAAGTTAAATTCAAGTAAAATAATACACAACAATGGTTTAAAGCACTTCATCACACAGAAATTCAATCTTAAGTTGGCTGTATACAGAAGAGATGTTATGCTCCCGCTTTGACCCTCTATTTACCCCATTCACCTCATTCCATTTATTCAACCCCTGTTTGTTGTTCTGTATTCATTTAACATCCTGGGGTGGGAAAGCTCCAGATGCAAGCAGAAGCTGGTTAAATAGGTGGCAAAATAAAGATGCTGCCTGACTCCTGTGCCCAGGGGCAGCCCGGATTTGAGACTTTCATTTTAGATGGGATTACATGCAGTCAGATGTGATGTTTTAAATCCACTGCTGAGTTAATAACAGCCCACATTCTGCCTCTATCTAGTAAGGTTTGAATTGAAAGGAAGGGACTGTCAAACATGCAAGTGAGGACCTCTGCGCTGTTGCTCTGTGTCCATCTAAGTTCCCTTTGCAATTTTATAAGAAGAGGTTAGTCCTTCCCGTACTGTGTGATGAAAAGGCTGCATGATCAAACAGAGGGAATTCTGGGGGTCCCTGGACAAGTTGCATCATCTATTGCCCACATCCTAGATCTAATTTCTGCACAGTGAATGTCAAAGACAGCTGCAGTCTTCAGGCTGAATTTTGACAGTGACCAGCTGTGCAATTATAACATTTTATTCCATTGTATCCCTTGTATAGTAATTATCAGGCTGTTGTATAAATTTTTTAATGTATTGGTTATCATCAGTGTTAAAATCTACATTGCCATTACGTTCATTAGACCAAGGCCTTCAAACTAAAGTAAATATTAAAAGTAGCTCACACATTTAAATGCAGTCTGACTCTGGGTCTTACAATGTGTCTCTTTCCAAATTGCCACCAATGTTGGGTACAATTGCACGCTGGTGTTTATTTTACAGTGTATCTACACTGCTCATCTCAATCAGTTACCAGGTCTCTAAACACCCCTCCTTTGCACCACCATCCTCCCCCTTCCACCTCACATCTGTGGTTCCCAACCAGGGGCAATGTTGTCCTCCCTCCTCCTCTCCTGGAAACGTTGGCAACATCTGGAGATATTTGGGGGCTGCTGGCATATAGTGGCTAGATGCCAGATATTCTGCTAAACATCCTACAATGCACAGGACAGCCCACAACAAAGAATTATTCAGGACCCAATGGCAGTAGTGCTGAGGTTAGAAACCCCGGGATCATGTCTCGGATCCTTATCTGCCAACAGTTCTCTCTGTCCCATATTGCTTCCTCGAGGCCTTCATGTCACCTGCAGAGATATCTTTCCAAAATACAAATGTGATCCCACTGCTTAAGACCTTCCAGGATTCCCCACTGTCCTCAAGATAGCACGTAGTGCAGTGTCCTAGGCTTGTCCTAATGTCTCCTTCCTTCCATGGTTCACCGTGTTCTCTCAGTTCCTTATACTCCAGCCAGGTTGAAATGTTTGGCAGTCCCCCAGGACTCCAGCCCTGCCCATGTGCCCACAGCACTGCGAGGGAGCTCCCTCTACCAGCAGCCATGCTTTTCCAGCTTTGGTGTGTACTCCAGCCACCTGGGACCTTGTTAAAATGCAGATTCTGATTCAGCAGGTCAGCTGAATCTGGGGCCAGAGACTTTAGTCCTGAAAGTTCCCAGATGGCCTCAATGCTCCCGGTTTGTGATCACAATTTCATCAGCTAGAACCTAGAGCAGTGGTTCTCAAACCTTAGTGAGCATCAGAATGACTGGGAGGCTGTGAAAACACAGATTCCTGGGACCTACCCCAGACTTTCTGATTTACTAGATTGGGGGGAGCCCATGAATTACATTTGTAACAAGTCCGCAAGCTGCACTTAGAGTTGAAAAGCATAGAGCATCTGTCTCTTCCTTCCCACCTGCCTCCTATCTGATTTCTGGGTCCTTGCCTGCCTCCTCCTCCAGTTCCCAGAAAGCCATATTAATGCCTGGACCACCACAGACATCACAGAGCATGCTAAGAGCTGGGCTATTCACCCCGACGCTCCACTAGACAGTAAGCTGCATGACAACAAGGACAGTCTTTTCTGTCTCCAAATCTTGCGTGCTAATCAGCGTTTTTCCTCATCCTAGAAAGTTGGGCAAGCATCCTGAAGATCCTTAAAAACCTGAAAAGGTTTAGAAAAGGTTACCTGTTCACCTTTACTAGTGTCAAAATATTACCAACGCTGTTAATACCACTCACAGCCATCTGAAGGACTTTTTGGGCTAGAGGGAATCACTACAGGTTTCCTTGCTATCCAAAAGTAAAGTATTCCTATGAAGTTTTTCCTAAGGCAAAGAAGCAATTACCTTAGGACACATCTTGCTAACAGATGCGCAAAATAAACTGAGATCAAGCACAGAGGCTCACAGACACAGTTCAAAGCTATGGTGGCCTGATGCTGAGATGCTTAGTGTGGTTTCTGGGGAAGGAGCTGGGCGGTGCCCCTCTCACTGTTCAGGGTGCTCGCTGCCTCTCCACTGGCTCCTGCAAAACAAATGATGAACGTTATTTTTGCTTTTTGCATTTTTTTTCTTTTGTGAGAGCAAAAAAACTTCTTTGGATTCCTTTCAGTTCGTGAGTAGGTAGTAACCTAGGTCTTTCACAGAAACAAAGTGGTGTGAAGCGAACTTTTGAAAAGCGATCTGTCTCTCCCTTTGTTGATAAATGCTGGTTCCTTACTTTTTCTACCCTGTTGATTTTTTCTTTTGTCTGAGAAAAGCATCAGGAGAACTGCAATCTTTCTAAAATCATTACTTGGTAAAAGCCAGGGCTTTAAATTTATCCCACAAGCTAGAGTCTTATGGAAACTGCTGTCTGAAATCCCTTTGTTCAGGAAGCTTTGAGGGGCTTCACCTACACACCCCTCCTTCCCCTACCCCGCCTCCCCCAGGGAAGGGACCTTCCTTCTTCCTAAGCCAGTGTCTCTCCCATTAGTCTTTATTTTATCTCATAACAGGAAGGAATTATTTTATTTGAACACAGTCTTTATTTTCAAATCCTTTTTTAAAGCCACTGAGGGCAGTGAGGAGTGGAAGGTTGTCTGAGTAGAATGGACCAAGGTGGGCCAGACCCTTTTGGGGAGAGGTGGAAAAGAGATGAAGGTGGGACTAGCTGGCTCGGGGAGAAGGGGAAGCCTTCAGGATGAGGAGCCGGCATGAACGAAGGCACACAAGTGGAATGAATATGGAGCATGGAAACAGGAACAAGAGGTAAATTTAGCTAAGTAAAATGACCCAGATTCTGGAGAAAGAAGAGTCCAGAAATCCAAACTGTGGAGCCAAGAGGAGAGGCTTATAAGTTGGAAAATCATCCCTTGAACCAAACAACTCTTTTTGTTTTTGTTTTTCTCTCCAGACATATTCCAGAAGTGGTTCTGATATTTGTTCACTCCCATTTTTGGCCAAGATCTGTCAGAGGATTAAATTGTACGTATACCAGTTCCCCTTCCTAAGCACTGGCAGGCGATAGCATCTTTGGTTGTCCCTGTTTTCTAATGACTAAAATGATCTTCAAGTTAAAAGGCATCTTTCTGAAAGTGAAAGTGTTTCTTGCTCATGACTTGTACAGAAACTAGAAGACAAATTAGCTCAGAACAAATCATTTTGGAAATATACTGAATACCAGTATCTTTGAACCTCCAACCTGACTTACTGCCCCGGACTGGAATGCAGCCTGCCTGCCAGTGAGACTTGTGAGTGGCTCAGGGCATGCTCGCACCGCACCTGGGGACAGGACAGCTCCTCCTTGCTGTGTAAGATACAGACAAGGTTGGCCACCTGTTATGGCAGGGACTCTTTGAGCATCTTTAGAGCAAGGCGCTTACAAGGCTGGAAAAGGACCATTTTTTCATAGAGCCCAACCTATTACCTAGAAAATCTAGCTCTGCTATGTATGAACAGGATTCCTAATACAGACACTGTCCAAAGTTCCCAAGCCCTCCTGTCTCCATTTAAAATCCCATGCTCCCTCCAGCTGCACTCTGAGTCTGAGGTTATGCTGGCTGTTATAGTAATCACAGTCCAAAACATTAAAAGATGGAACAGTCCTGCGAGGCATGTTGGACTAAGCGGCAAAATAGCGTAGGTCCACCTTCCACTCGGCTGCTTCCCATGTGACTGTGGCAGAGGCTGCTGCCAAGCAGTGTATGGCACTGTTCTGGGGTCCAGATGCTGAACTTTCAATGCACTTCTGCACTGAGTTCTCACAATTCCGTGAAGTAGGGATTATCATTATTTCCATTTCGCAGAGAAGGAGACTGAGTCTTACAGAAGTAACTCCTCCCAGCTGTGAGGACCCAAGATACACCCCCAGGTGTATTGGACCCCACTTGTTCTTTGGAAACATCCACTTTCTTGACTCTTGTGCAATGCTGCCTCTTGAGCCAACTTTGAAGACTTGAGCCACTTAATGTCTCTGAGCTTCAGTTTCCCCATGTTTAAACTCAAGCTATAGACCCATTTGGAAAGTTTTAAAAATGCAGACTCCTTGGCCTGAGACCTGGTGGGACAGCGTGGCGTTCCTAGGTTCCTGGTTGACTGTGTCCTCCCTAGCCCTCTCACATTCTATTTCAGGAGCCAGACCGCAGATGCTACCTGTACAGATGACGCTTTAATGACTCAAAATAATGTTCCTTCACTGTGAGACATTCACAGAGACCACTCGGTCTGCCCTGGCCCCTGCTGCTTTTATTCTCACTCTCCCATAGGCAGTTCCTATCACTTGAGAGCATTCCGGTCTAGCCCAGCTCTCATGGTGAAGAGTTAGAGGGAAGAACTCCCCAGAGGTGAGAGTCAGGCTGAGCATCTGGACTGAGAGGCTGTATTGGTTTCCCAAGGCTGCTGTAATAAAATACCACAAGCTAGGTGGCTTGAAACAATGTAAATGTATTCTCTCCCCATTCTGGAGGCTGGAAGTCTGAAAGCAAGGTGTTGGCCAGATCCCTCTGAGACTCTGCTCCCTCTGAGATTCCCTCGGGGACTCTGGGTCAAATCCTTCCTTGCCTCTTAGCTTCTGGTGGTGCCCATCCATCCTTGGCAACCCTGGGCTTGCAGCTGTGTCATTCCAATCTCTGCTTCCCTCTTCTTATACAGCCTCCTTCCCTGTGTGTCTGGTTTTCCTTTTGCAACCAGTCATATTGGATTAGGGTCCACACTTATGGCCGCATCTTAACTCAGTAACATCTGCAAAGACCCTTTTTCCAAGTAAGTTCACATTCACAGGGAGCAGGGGTTAGAACTTCAACATATCTTTTTGGGGAACACAGTTCAACCCACAATAGAGGCACTTTTCCTGTGTTCCTCCATCCTTCATCTCATGAGCTTCACGGACGCTAAACGCATTGAACATCCCCCGTCTGCTTTGAAAGTATCTCAGGAGAGGAGGCGGCTGTGCATCTGACCCACATTCAGAGCCTCTTAGGGATCCAAGAGTTTAAAAACTTTTCCTGTTCATCTGCCCACATAAGCTCCTGCAAGCCAACTGTGCAGAGTGCGGACTTGGATCCTGGAACAGTTATCAATCCCGCTTTTCATGAATAGAAGTGGAGGCAGAGACCATCAGGACATGGGGAGTAGAGGGGAAATATTGGACATGAAAGAAAGTGAGGGAGGCTAAGATGCAGCCAGGTCCCAAGCCCCCGACCATTTCATCATGCTTAGCTCTTGTTGAATCGAGACCCCTGTCCCCTCCTTGCTGAAAGCATCATTGCATTTTCTGTGTCAAACCAAACGTGGGCCCTCAGGACCTAAAACGACAACTCTTCAATTGAACCACCTTTGAAAACCTGAATTCAAGAGCATCTGTGGCCAGGGATTTTCCTGGCCCAATTTCAAAGGGAAATTTTTTCATGAAAAAGCAAAAGCAGTACGTTTTTCTTCTTTGTAAAAATCATTGTGCTTCTAGTATAATTCGTACCGGGTCATGAATTATTCAGTGCTGCATGGGTTATAAAGCACATTTAAATGCAGCCTCGTTTATTCTTTAAAACAACCTGTGGCTCAGTAATAATAATGACAAGTAAAAGTTATCTGATACTGTCTCTGCACCAGGAACTCTTATAAATGCAACCCTGTTAGACAGACAACATGTTTTTGGTCCCCTTTTTAAAGATGTAAAGCCATTTGTCCAAGGTCACAGAGCTAGTCATGGATAAATATGATGTTTGAACCCAGCAGCCTGGTTATAAAGGTCAGGCTCAGAGCCACAACATTGCCTGTCCCTTGACTCGGAGCATCACTTTCAGATGAGCAAGTTGGTTCTAGTTTATTTAATGCTTGACCCACTAGCACAGTCAGCAGGTGGTAGACACAAAGACCTATGTGTCTTCTGTTACATAATCCTTCCCTAAAATCCCCTCCAGTAAGAATGCCTTTCTGGCTCTGTGCCTCTCTTTTCCCCATCCTGTTTGGCCTAATGCCTTCATAAACAAGACGAAAAGACAGCTCTCAGAATGGGAGAAAATATTTGCAAACGCATCAACGGACAAAGGATTAATCTCCCAAATATATAAATAGCTCATGCACCTCAATATTAAAGAAACAAACAACCCAATCCAAAAATGGGCAGAAGACCTAAATAGGCATTTCTCCAAAGAAGACATACAGATGGCCAAGAAGCACATGAAAGGATGCTCAACATCACTAATTATTAGAGAAATGCAAATCAAAACTACAATGAGGTATCACCTCACACCAGTTAGAATGGGCATCATCAGAAAATCTACAAACAACAAATGCTGGAGAGGGTGTGGAGAAAAGGGAACCCTCTTGCACTGTTGGTGGGAATGTCAATTGATACAGCGACTATGGAGAACAGTATGGAGGCTCCTTAAAAAACTAAAAATAGAATTACTATATGACCCAGCAATCCCACTACTGGGCACATACCCAGAGAAAACCATAATTCAAAAAGACACATGCACCCCAATATTCATTGCAGCACTATTTACAATAGCCAGGTCACGGAAGCAACCTAAATGCCCATCGACAGACGAATGGATAGAGAAGATGTGGTACATATATACAATGGAATATTCCCCAGCCATAAAAAGGAACGGAATTGAGCCATTTGTGGAGACATGGATGGATCTAGAGACTGTCATACAGAGTGAAGTAAGTCAGAAAGAGAAAAACAAATATCGTATATTAACTCATGTATGTGGAACCTAGAAAAATGGTACAGATGAACCGGTTTGCAGGGCAGAAGCTGAGACACAGATGTAGAGAACAAACGTATGGACACCAAGGGGGGAAAACTGCAGTGGGGTGGGGATAGTGGTGGTGTGCTGAATTGAGCAATTGGGATTGACATGTATACACTGATGTGTATAAAATTGATGACTAATAAGAACCTGCAGTATAAACAAACAAACAAACAACAACAAAAAACAACTAATACTAAACTTTCTTTGGGTTATTTGTATGGAAATATGTTAATATAAATGTTTCAGACATTACATGAAATTTCTAAAAGTCTTATATGCTCTGGTATAATGTTATAAGTTATAATCTAGTTATTACTTTAAAATGTATATCTCAGAAATAACTAAATTTCCTTGTTAATTGCAAAAAAAAAAAAAAAAATACCAATGGAGGTGTCTCCACCCGTGGGCAGCTTTCCAGCTCCCAGCCTAGCTCCGGTCGCTTGGCTAGCCTCCTCCGTACTCCATGCTCGCTGGTACCTGCTCCTGCACCCTGTTCTTCTCTGGCTGCTTCCGCATCAGTCTCCCACCCCCACCCACAGCTCTTGGAGAGCGGGGATACCATTTCTTGGTAAACTTTTTATCCCTGGTTCCTACCACAGTGCTTAGTTTTAGTAGGGACTCTGTAGAAACAAGGGAATAAATAAAGAAAAAGCACTACTTTATAAGAAAAACAAATGTTTAGGATACCAGGCTACTACCATGGGGCAACCAAGTTTTTGGTTGTTTTGTTTTGATCAGAATTCACAGTGCCTCTATGCTGCCTATTTTCTATTGTAGCAGTGGTAGGACAGGAGGGTCCCCTCTTAATAATTTATTCTTTTTATTGAATTTCCAAATGCATGAACCCACATATGTATTATTCCACATAAATTCACACAGACTATCTTATCTTACGTTAACTGAGCTTTTTTTTTTTTTGCGGTACGCGGGCCTCTCACTGCCGTGGCCTCTCCCGTTGCGGAGCACAGCCTCCGGACGCGCAGGCTCCGCGGCCGTGGCTCACGGGCCCAGCCGCTCCGCGGGATGTGGCATCTTCCCGGACCGGGGCACGAACCCGCGTCCCCTGCATCGGCAGGCGGACTCTCAACCACTGCGCCACCAGGGAAGCCCTAACCGTGCTTTTAATTCATCATTCTTTGCCTTTTTTCGTTTGTTCCTTCTTGCCCCTGCCCTGCTCTTTCCTCCCACATCGTCCTTGTTCCCACCACAAGGTGAGCCGTGTAAACACGTCGGGATGTGTCCTTCCATGGTTTTCTCTGCTCTCATTTTATCTTACAGGGATGCATGTAATGCATCCACACGCACATGAAACAGAGTCACGCTGGTCCTGGAGTACTGCCTGGGACTCCAATATGAGGCAGATACACATGGAAATTTTATTCCCCCTAGTTTTCTTTTGTTGTAATGCCCCAGTTTCATGACATAATTTTAGGCACTTTGAACTTGAATAGCTCACCATTATGTAACGAATGCCATTCAGCTGCAATCACAATTGCTCCCTGGGTCAAGCCTGCTAGCCCAAGCCCAGGTAGTCATAGGGCAGGAGCAGCAAGCAGGTGATTAGCTGCACCAGCCAACGTGGTAACTGGGGTTCTAGGTATTTTCACCGTAAGTTTCTCTGCCTTAGACAGCCTTGCTGCCAAAAACATTTTTGCCACGTAACTAATTAGCCATGATTTTGCTGTAAAGGATAAAACAATGAAAAATAAAAGAGACGTTAAGAAGGACATCATGAAACATGAAAAATGAATTGCAAAATTAAAGAGACTTTATTGCTAAATACAGAACATCTGAATATATTTAAAGTGTGTGTATATTTCATGGCAATACTGCACAAATGACCGATCTTCTTTTGTGACTTGTACATAAGCACTTGTCTTCCAGGTCTTTCATTCTTAGTATTTTACACACTGTTTTTTCTTGTTGATTCTTCTCATTTGACATCACACTTTTTCTTTTTTGCTAAGATTTCTTCCTTCGTTAGGAGAGGTATCAGTTTCCAAATACTAGGATGCATGTTTATACCTAAGCTTTGTATTGTGTTGTGAAAGCCTCTACACTGTTGTGTGTTCTTGGCATCTTGTAATATGTCTGTTGATAAACATTCCAAAGTCCTATGGGAAATGCAAGCTCAAATCTGCAACTCTCAGGCCCTCAACCTCTTTCTCCTCCATTGTAGTGTGCTTCAAAATCAGAAACCAGCTCTTGGGGCACATCATCATCATCTGTCATGATTTTTGTATGATATATATCAAAACAAACTATCAACCAGTCGTTTTACCTTTTATGGCAAAATTGTCTTATGGCCAATTAGTTATGCAGTGAAAGTGTTTACAGCAAAAATGCTTGCTGCAAATGTGCTTACGGTAAAAATACCTAAAAATAGTGGACACGCATAACTGGACGGAATATTGTGTGGCTGGGAACCTGAAAATCTGAAGAGAGTCCATGGATTGGGTTCGAGATGTCTCCAGAAACTAAAATGTCATAAGAGCAAACACCTGATTCCTGTTTGCCCAATCCTAGAAACCATCCTTGGAATAACTGTTAGCATTGCACATAATGAAAAGAGCTAATATTTTGTGAGTACTTATCACATGCTTGGCACAGGTCTTCCTTGCTTCACACATAACAACGCTATTAGTCTTTGCAACAGCCCTAGGAAGCAGGTACTGACACTGGCCCCATTTACAAAAGAGGTAACAGAGGTACAAACAGATTAAATAAGTTGCCCAAAGTTACATACCAAGTAGACGGCAGACCTGGGATTCAAATCCAAGGAGTCTAATTTCAGAATCTAGAGCTATGTTAAGGGGCTTCCCATACTTTTCCTTCCTATTAGAACACCCACACCCATCACCCAATTACTTGCTTTGAAAATGCTTTCTCATCCTTTAGCTTTCACCTTAAGATCACCTCCTTCCCTGTGTAGAGTTAAGAGTGTTTTCCCTCTGGGTGCACAACCCTCTTATAGAATTTTCTCCATAGCACTGTGGTTATCTGTTGATGCCTTGTTTCCCCCCACCCATCATTAAGCTCTTCTAGCATAGGAAATGCATCTTATATTCAGCCCTAATATCTAATATGATGCCTGGCACATGCAAGGACTTCAAAAATGGCTGTGGAATGAATGAATGAATGAATGAATAGTTCAGCATACAACCAGATACCTGTAAGGATACACAAGGTATCAAGTTTAGATACAATTTTGCAGAAATAATAGTAGTGAAAGTCAACAATGCTTTATCCAAAACAGAGCCAGATGTGATTTCGAATTCAGATTTTAAGAAAGTAACATACCATATACCATAACTCACCTAACACTCCCAGCACCTCCTAGTCAAACAAATTTATATATCAGCAATGAAATATATGGATAGTCACACTAAATAAGGTATAGCTTATGAATTGCCTTAGACCAGTTTGGGTCAAGTTTTGCCACCAAATGTGTGAGCTGCAAAGTTGAAAATAAGAAACAACTCTTGGTGCTCAGACCTGTTTGGACCTGGGGGCTATGAATAAGGGATTGTGGAGTTTTTGTAAATTGCAATTTATGTGACTTATGATGACCAATCTACCCTCTCGTGTCTAGAATGTATGGTTTTGGTTCGTCACTCTGAGCCTTTAAAATAAGCAGGTAAAGGTTAATTTAATGAACTTTCTAATTCTAGAGACAACTCATTGTTCCTTCTTTCAAGGACAAACTCTCATCCCCGAGATGGCAAAGGTGGAAAGGGGTAGCTTTGTCATCCTCAGTGAGACCTTTCACCCGGAACCTTTTCTCAGACTGAAAATATGGCTCTTTGGGTCTGTTCGTCCTCTCTTTCTCTCTCTCCATCTCCCTCTCCCTCTCTGTCTTCCCTCCTTTTCTCATCTAGAAACATAAAATAGCTATCCAAGAGGTCAAATATGTACACGGGAGAAAACTACCTAGTCTTACAGGAGATGTCATCTCTCAAGAGGTCTATTAATGTGGACTTGTGGTGGGTCCACCATCTCAGAGCTCATAAGACAGGCTCCATACCACCAGTTAGGCTCCATGCTGGCTCTGGCTGAATTCACTTGACTCGAGACTCTCAGAACTGCTGAGAAGCTCTTGATTCAAAAGACCATTTACTAAATCCTATAAAGGGTCATGTTACTCCCTCTATATTCTAGGCTCCAAGAATAACCTCACCCTGCCATATGATGGCACTTCCCTGCTACTCTGTAAGTGATTTTCCTAGAGGGAAACAGTGTTTGCCTTTGGAAGCTGGGAAAAGTCTGGTAGTGAGATCTCAGGGGAGATCCTCACTCGGGGGGGGGGGGGCCGTGTCCATGGTTTTGGCATGAATTGCTTGGTCATCAATCACAACAGAGCCCTTGGTTCCCCAGGCTCTTGAACGGGAGTGACAACTAAATTGTCAGATTCTCAGAATAAGTGGTTTAAAAGAGGAGAATCTTAAGAAAAGATTTCCAACACAGAATGTGTAAAATGTGTAAAATCTGTAGTACTGAACTCGTTGACTGGACCAAAAATGTAGGTTCTTTCCTGAGGACCTCAACAGCCATATCCCATGCCTTCTAAAACTTGAGTTCATTATATTTTACCTCCCCATATAGGCCAAGTAAAAAGTCAGAGAGAAAATAGTTCTGTTGAGTGGAGAGCAGGGATGAGCAAAGTTTGACTGGTACTCTTCATTTTATTTTTATTTTATTTTTTAAATTTTTATTTAGGTCCTTAATTTTATTTTTAGAATGCGGTTCTGTCACATAAACTCAACACAGCCATATCTAAAACTGTCTCTATTTGTTTTCAAAAACACCATTTGTTTTTTCTTAGCTCACCAGGTGTTTTGTTTTTTTTCTTCTAGGGCTATACAAAATTCTTTACCATTCAAAGATGTAGATTCAGACAAATACAGTGTTTTCCCAGTAAGTATCATTAAGACTAACCAGATGTTTGCTAAATATTGCGTCGCTTCCTATAAATTTCTTTCCTTTAATAAGACAAGATTGAATGCCATTTGAATGTATTATTAATGTGATAATACACCATTTTATGATGCTTACAGACTTTCTGGTATCTTACTAATACATGGACCATCAAAGTGGATCTTAGTCCTAGACTGTTTTCGTTTCCTGAAGCCATTCCCAGCTGGAATTCTCCACGGGGATAACAGTTATCTTGAAATGTGTTGGGAATTATTTTCAAAATTCTTAAACGTATTTTAACTTACTTTTAAAAAGTGTGTGTGTGTTTGTGTGTGTGTGTGTGTGTGTGTGTTTATGTCTGTGTACACATGTTAGATTTAGAACAGTTAGGATGTCAGAATGTTCTCTGTGAAATTCCACAAGCAAGCAACAGATGTCACAAACTCTCCAAAGTAGGTGGGATCTCAAATACTCTACCTGCGAATGTGAGAAATAAAGACATTGTTTGACATTATCATGACTCTTGATTCTTTCAAATCAGACATGTAAAAAATATAATAAATCCACACAACTAACCAGTTTGGCTAGAGGTCTTTTAAATTATCCAGCAAAATGATTAATCACTGGACCAAATAAACCAATTGTTTTGGAGCCTTTGATAGAGAAAGTTCAGGGAGTTGGATGGTCCTGCCCTTTGTGGAAGTGCACATAGACGCATACACATGAACACACATGTACACAGACACGTGTATAAAACATGCATTCACATAACCCATGTGAATGCACACGTGCCCACATACATGCACATTCACACACATGCACCCCCATACACTCACATATCAGCACGCACCCAACAACACATATACACATGCATACACACACTCTCACATACACACACACTTCATCTGTGATTGGCCCTGGTACCATATTACATTTCACCTCACACAGGAGGTCTTAGCATATCATCTTAATTTTCTTAGTGATCTCTAGTGTTCCTAGACTGTATTAGGATTTAAAATGGCAGATGTCAGTACCCCTCAGACAGCTCTGATTGGCCCTCACTGTGGATAACGTCAAAGCAGAACTGACCCTTCCTGTGTGTGCTCTTCAATTTCAGACACTGCGGGGCTCTCACTGGCGAGGGAGAGACTGTAACGACAGCAACAAGATGGCATACCCAGGCAGAAGGTAACGGTCTCTGCTGGTCACTGATGTTGAAAATTACCTTCTGAAAAGGAGGCAGAGGCATAATTATCTCCCTCAGCCTAGGGGATTCGTGCTTACAGAGAGAAGGGACCTCCATGTCCTAATTGAAGTAAAGCGCAATGAAAAAACAGTGTTTGTTCATTCATTTGCCAAAAAAATGCTCATCGAGCATTGCCAAGCACTCTGCATCATGTTGGGTGGTAAACAAATAGAAATAGGCCTCCTCTCGAGGAGTTTACAGTCTAGTGGGAGAAACACGTGAGTAGACAGGTTATTGTGGATGTTTATCCAGCCTCCTGCACGAGTTCTACTGGCAACCCTGGGCCCAGAAAGAGTAGCCTCTTCCACCAGGAGGAGGGCGACGGGGCAGAGAGTAGAGCGCAGGGCACATTTTAGTCCCAGGCTGATGTTCAATCAATCACATCTCAGACTTCAAACTGGGTATGCCAGCCTTCATCTTAGCTGTGACTACAGTGCGGAAGCATTAACCAGAGGTTTGGGACTTTAGAGGCATAACTTTAATTGTGTCACTTGTCTAACTGAAATGGACTGCAGATGTGTTCATTATTCCTATCAACATCATTCCACAACAATACCTCCCATGAATCTAGTCAATTGCGAAAAGACTGCATTTGGTCCACAGTTCCCAGCAAACATCCAAAGCCAAGGGAATGGTAAAGAGGCCAAGTGAGGCTTCTGTGGGCCACAACCCACAACGGTGTGTGGCACTTTTCCCTGAAGAAACTGTCGTCTATCGAAGACTCTTGGTGTAGCACTCATTCATTCATTCCTTCATTTGTGAAGCTGACATTCAGAGTGATAAATACATGCCAAAGACCAATGTTGATGTTTTCTTCATAGGCCAGACAACTGGGATACACATCAGGATTCAAACTGTAATGGCATTTGGGTAAGCGACTAAACTCAAATTTAACCCTGTTCTCTTGCTTTCCGTCCTCCTTAAAGGCCCATTGCCTGTTTGCTTCAGTCAGACCTAAGGAAGAAGACGGTAGACTACAGCAACCCTTTTTCTGCTGTTTGGAAGAGGGGCATAGAATCCAATCACATGGGAAGGGTGTCCATGATGTAATGAGAGTTGAGGCTGTCTCTGTCACAGCCACTACAAGTCTTGCTTAACATCATTCACATCTAATCCCTTTATTGTGTTTGGAACAGTGTGAAATTAAATGGAGAGTGGTGTTAGCAAAGTTTTACAGCAACCCAAAGAGCTATTGGAGCAAACCGCATGCTGTCGCCATTTCATTGCAGCTATTTTTTTCTATTTCATAAGGCTAGTCAGGCAGAGTGGAAGTTACCCGTAGTTACCCCACTACCCACATCCTGAGGCATCTAATGCTGGTGCCCCAGTTCCCTATGAATAATAAGTTAGCAGCTTCCAGGTAGAGAAAAGGAAAGGAAAGAGAAAAGCCAAACACTTAATCTTAGCTCGGCAATGGCAGCAGACCCAATTTTGTGAGGTCTTGAGCTTATAGGATTTGAGGGGTCCTCATGAAGAAAAAGAATACCAAATACAAATACAAAATCAAGACTAAAAGTATAATTAATTAGAACAATAAAAGAAATCTTAACAAATTCCTGGAGTCTTGGAAATTCAGGTCCCTTTCTTCTGAGATCTCTTTTCCAATTTACCAGGAATGCTTATGTAGAAATATTGTTCTGAGTGCAGCCTGGTTCCTCTCCACCTAAAACACTCTATAGCTCCCAGCTGCTCCCAGCACTCACACAGGCAGGGATCGTACAAACAAGGAGCCTTGAAGTTTAAGATTCCCCAGCTTCAAGATAAATTGCCTCTGAATGGTCGCCTAATTTGTCTGCTTGGATGAAGAGGAGAAAGTTCCTGTAAATAGTTTCCTCTCTCCAGGACACTGATGGTCCATTTCTTCTGAGATATGGAGAGCAAGACAGATTGTATCCCAGTATAGCCCTACCCACCCACCCTATCATCAGTCACAATGCCTTTTCATGAGGAGGGGAAGACACGTCCCCTAGATCTTAAGGTGTCAAGGTGTCAAGACCCCCAAGGCAGCTCTTGTTCGATAAAGTCAAGCTTAGTTGTCATGTTGGAGGACATGGGGGGTTATTAGTGTGTGAAGCTGCTGTCTTGGTTCCATGACCCCATCCCTGCCTCTGACATAGGAGCCCACCTACATAAGGAAGGCCAATAAGAGACTGTGCTAGACCAGTGGAAATCCACCAAGAGCCCAGGGAGCCAAGACTCAGCGTTTATCATCAGTAATAGGAGAAAGACACATGACCTTCATACCTATCCCTTTCCATGGAGGAAAAATGACTCACAGAATCACAAAATCATAAACTCAGAGAGGACTTTACAATCACTAAGGCCAACATTTCCCAAACTGTGTCCAAGAACTCCAGTGTTGAGTGGGAGGTTAAGAGGTAAGGGACGAGGGGCGCTATAGCAAAGTTTGGAAAGTACTGGGTCAAATAAGCCTGAACAGTTTTCTTTACTTCCGAATTTCTCAGCATCTTTAATGTTTTAATGCATGTTGGGAGTCCCCAAGACCAAGACAGTGAACACACTGTTTCCAGTACATCTCTGACCATCAGGTTCTTTCTTCCTAAAATACTGTTAATACCATTAATATCTAGTGGAATGCCAGTGCTCTCCAGACCAGAGTTTGGCAAACAAAAGAAAAAAAATTATATATATATATATTTTTTTAACTTTTTTAAAGTTATCCAGACTCTGCTCAAACCTTCCAAGGACCAGCTGCTCCACTAATGCACAGACTTAGCTTTAAGTGTTAGGAAGTGTCCTCAGCTGTGGTATCATATCAACATTTGGGATCACTCTTTATGGTTTGGGCTGCCTTGTAAATTGTATGATGGTCAATAGCATCCCTGCCTCTCCCCACTAAATGCCGGTAGCTCCCCCTCCCCTCATCGTAACAACCAAAGATGTCTCCAGGCATTGCCAAATGTCCCTTCGGATGGCTGTGGGGCAGGGGTGGGGGAGGGGTGCCTCAAAAGCAGCCCTGTTGAGAATCTCTGCTCTAGAAGCATCAACCCTTAGGCACTGGAGGTGTCAGGACACTTAGAGCTCCAACTCAGAGACTGCTGA